GGGTGGTTACGTTTAGTAGTTTAGAAGGATAGGTTGAAAGTACAAATAGGGTGAAAACGTGCCCTACTACCAGTTAAACATATTCCCCAAATTTCGTTGTCCTAGTGTTTATGGTTTTTGAGAAAAAAAAATTAAACCAAAATTTTCCGCCATTTTTGGAGGGGTGTAGCTCCTTAGGGGAGCCGAAGTCGCCCATGGTTCATATATCAAAGTACCCTTAAAATTTACTAACGAATCACCCCTTGAAGTTTGTTGCAGTCATTCAGATACACCCTGTATAAATATACAGGTCATCCACGACGACCGTCCATTAGAATTTTACAGGGTTCTGGCCAATACAAAAATTTGAAAATTCAGATTTAAGTATTATTAATTGCGTTCTCTTCGACTAAAATATTTTCAGATTTCTAGCACTTCCGGTTATACCGGATGTCGCCACCTACTTTATTTTTTTAAATGGAACAGCCTATATATCTTTACATATTTCGATTTGTCTATTTTCAAGGTTTATGAATAACTTTACTTTTTGCAATTTGANACGGTGAAATTTGATAACGATATCTATCGGGGTACAATAGATCCTTAGGGTCGCGATGCAAGGTTGGTTAGTCCGCCTACCCGATATGTAGTCGATGCAATGTAATGTAATGTAACATGAGGGTTTTCTTAGCCAGTCAAAACCACGGTTTATTGAACTTCTCCTGAAACATTTAGTAGCCCAGACTCCGAGAAAATTCTTTTTAAATTTAGTCACAGCTAGGCTCACCATACTTTGGCCAAGGAGTTGGCGATCAGGATGTGTTGTATTAAAGAGGAAATTGTTTAAAATAATTGGTTACCATAGTTACTCTGCTTTTTTTATCATGTCAACAAATCTGAAGTAGTTAAACTTTAAAGTAATTTTTCTCGAAAATTTTCTTATGTAGCCAATAGTAATATTGAGTTTACTAGATTCAGAAAAAAATCCTCTTTCATTATTCCGTAATAAAAATGGGGGATTGCCATCTGAAAAAAATATCGATGACGTCATAACTCATTTAAAAATGGCGGAAGAAATTTAAAATCTACACCAAACAATTGCAAAAAATTTAAATCTTTTGACCCGTTTCAGTGATTTTTCCATAAACCGTTTATAATGATTTTATTGCTTATATCCGTTACTTTACGGACATCCTGTATATATCCATTTTATATGGTGCTTACTCCGGTGGTTTGCTCAGATATTTTGTAAAAAATCTCTAGCATGTTTATCCAATATTTCACCCCTAAAAACGTACACACGATCTGGAATGCAAAAGATTTGTCAAAATCAGACAATAAATACAAATTTTATGAGGCTTTTAAATTGGCCACACTGTAGTTCTAGGGCTCTCTCGATATCGTTCCTGATATATCTCGCTGTGGTCAATACATCCAATCATCACTTATCATTGACAAAACTTCGACTGATGTTCTATTTCAAATTGTAAGTACTGGAAATGAAAAGTAGCGATTATCGCGTTAAAATGAATTTTAAGAATTATCAATGCATATCGATGAAAGAAAATTTGTATGATAACAAATTAATAAAAGTCTACAAACCTTGAGTTTTGGTTACGTAATAAACAATTTATCTTAATGATACGAACCATGACCTTTCAAGATTCCTCCGTATCATCTAGAATTAAATTCTACTGAAGCAGTATGGACAGTCATGAACCACCATGTGGTAAATAGAAACCCGGAAGATGGAAGAATCGTGGTGTCCCCAACATGCGAAGAAGATTGAAGAGTTTTATGCAAAAAAAAACAGCTTTTAGTTGATGTCGTTGATGCACATATGATTCGCATTCATTTATAAATCTACAAGATGTGATTAATGAGTGTTTGAACAATTAATTTTGTTATTAAATTTTCATTTATACAATTTTGTATACGGTGCTTATTTGCGTTGGATATTTATATAAATATATATGTGTGAAATAATTTTAGGTTACAAAACTTTCAATGCAAACATATTTATTTATTTTGCAAATTTTAAATTCATACGTTAACAGTTTCTATTGTAAAGCTATTGAATTTTGGCCTTGATACCATGCGTACCTCTTATCTCTCTTTTCTGAATGCGTTCTCATTTCCCAATCATCCGCAAAGTTATTCTTGTAAATCAGTATTATTTCGATATATTATTTAATAACTGTTTTTTTTTTTATAAAATATTCATTAGCACACTATCTTTATAACATCCTGTATTCGAAACAATAAATCGCTGTTAAAAGAAAAATATATAACTGAAATTATTGTTTTAGATTGGGGTCAAGAAGCCGTTTCAAAAGCGGAAATCCTCCGTTTGATTTACCAAGGTCGTTTTTTACATAGCAACGTTACTTTGGGCGCATTAGGATTACCCTATGGTAAAACAACAGTTATGCACCTTGTTCCTAGAGAAAATTTACCAGAGCCTAACTCACAAGGTATGTATATCTTAAATTTAAATTAATTAAATCAATTTTTTGGGTTAACTCCTTTATCCTTTGTTTTAGATCAACGACAAAAAAGTAAAGGAGGTAGCAGTAGTTGTTGCTCAGCGTCCTGTTGCATTTTATAAAATAGTATTCGATCGATTTTTACTACGTATATTTTAAATGCAGAGTGTAGGCAATAACATCTCACCACCTTTTTAAATAACCAAAAGAAAACAATTTATTTTATTGAGAAGGAAGGAAAGAGAAAAGAAAAAAAAAGTGTGTGGTTAGTTGAATGAAATAATAATTAATAATGAAAACGATAAGAAAAGGACAAAGGACATTTTTTCGACGTTCTCACCCCTTTTTTTAATTTAATCGAAAATTACTTAGATGTTTTAAACGCTACTACTCAAAAAAATATTAAGAAAAAAAATGAGAAAGTAAAAAAAAATGAAACGAGGGTTAAAAAATAAGACTCGATGTTTTAAAAAAATAAACGCGGTTAAAGTTTCCACGATTGTTGTGATACATAAGTTTAGTGTGTTAAAAAATAACGATATAAAAAATTATTTAGTAATTTGTGGTAAGGAATAACGAGTTAAAAAAATAATGACGAGATGAAGTGTGCCAGATGGACTTGAAAAGGTTAATCTTATTAAAAAATAAAAAGAAAGCAAACGTTTTAAGCGGTCAATTTACGTTGAATTATTTAATTTTTAAAGTACTTAAAAGAAGAAGACAAAAATATTTTTAAACAATCATCCAAATGTTATGGGCAGAATGTAGAATATTAGTGTTATATGACAACATATTTGAATTGGAGTTAAATTGAGTACTTTTAATACTTGTTGAATATTCTAAATTAATTTATGATGAATTTATTCATTTAATCGTAACAACAAAATTTATTTGAATTTAATTTCAATGATTTGTCGTGGTATTTATAATTGCACAATTGTTTGCTAACGTTTAATATTTCGATTTACTTCCCGTTATTTAGACCACTTTTGGCACCCTCATTCCCATTGTATTTTTATACAACATGTAGGTGTTTAATATTCACATTTTTTTCGCCTATTAACTTTATTTTCTGGTAAAACTGTTTAAGTAATTAGTCACTATTAAAGCAATACTGTTATCATTCCATTTGCATAGGAGAATGGTGTCGCGTCCTACTTAATGATGAAATGTGCCTCTATTTACCTAAAAACGATTGATTCTAATCATGAGTTAGTTTCTAATTTTTCATTCAATGGGGAATCCAGTCTTTTGTACCCAATAAATGCAGTATATATGCAAGCTTGGGCAATTATGGGTTGGATAACCAAAGATAAAACCCGTTATTTGTGTTCCATCAAATAATTATGTGAAGAAACCATATTAAAATCCAAAGGTATTGAACTAAACTTTTATGCATGAAATACGCTCACAGAAATATTACTTAGCACCTTCAGGTTCATAAATAATAACTTTTTTTTCATTTTCTATTGACTGAGGTCAATCACACTGGGATCAAACAAACTCTACTCAATTTTTAGTTGTTTATATATCTCATCACTCTTAAATTATTCAACTACAGGTATAGAAAGATCATTGTTTTAATTTTTTAGTCTTTGGTTCTAATGTTCTTAATCTTTTAGTGATTTAATAAACAAAACGATTTTGCAATCAATCTAAAGTATCTTCAGGAACACCTTAACAAATTAAAAAAAAATCCTTACATAATTTTGTCTGAAATTTTTTTTTCCTGAAGATGCCCTAATTGAGACACGAAACCGGTAGAACAAAAATATAACTATTGTCGCCATGAAATGCAAAAACATTTTATTTACTAATAAAAGGTTATGATAAGAAAATGAAAAGCTTCAAAGCCCAAGTTTAGGGATTTAAACCGAATATTTGTTTACAAGAATTGTCATCATTAAGTAGACCGGAAGTTCTCAACTTATTTAGTAAGGTTAGTCAGATTTTATCATAAAAATGTAGAATCATGTCAATATCACACTAAAATCGCATTTAGACTAACTTAAAAGGACTAAAAATAGTGAAAATGTTGTTTGGTTAAGGAAATTTAGTGGCAAGACGTTTAACACATTGACTGCCAGGAAAAACGTAACTTGATGCACGGCAAAATTTCCACACCAGCCATGAGAAGCACCAGTTGATTCTCATGCCTATTTAATTTTAAAATTGTTCCGGCCAGAATGGATAGACTTTTAGTGATTATTGCGGCAGTCAACGTGTTAAGCATGGTAACATTTCCTCTGGAGTCCCATAAAAATTCTTTTTTGGCCAAATAGTTTTCACATCAAGTTGATTATCATCTTCGAAGGTCATGACTTTCCAAAACAACACATCTCTCTAATACTTTAGTTATGATTTTAAATCATTTCGTCCCATGAATTAAGTTGAAAATTTTGGTCTCTGAGTTTATTTGTTCTTTTTTTTGAATATAAAATAGTTAGATGACTAATCAAACCTGCTTCATTCTCAATATAACTATTGATATTTTCTTTTTGCTAAAATATTTAGATATTTACAGAGATCATAGGTCAAAATCATTATGGAGGTTATTAAACAATTTATTTTTATATATCCACGACATACAGGAAATCTTTATATAGTCCTTGATTTCAAAAAATACTGGTCAACATTAAACTTCATCATAGATGTTCTGGATCTATCTCTTTTAGTAGTAGATTTCACTTGAAAGTTGTCCAACCCAACCCCTTATCTAATTTTGATCCAAATTTGATTGTCACCTTATTTCAATTTACATTCCTCGAGCAGTTCGAACACACTTATATTTAACCATAAACTTAATATGCAAAATTCAAATACTAGAAGATCTCCAACTTCATATAATATCTTTTGATTAAGCTGTCCATTAGGACAACAATATTATTAAATGGCGTACATATTATTACATGTTTTGTATTGGAAATAGAATAATTTTTAATGCAAAAGAGGAGTGACACATTTGTTGTCTGTCCAAACCTGTATTCCTGACATATTTTCATCCATTTTCATAACTTATTTAAAGATTAAAAAACCTAATTGTTTTTCATCCAAATGTGTCAAAAAGTTTTGTGTTAAACAGCTTTATTCAATTTTTATTTGCATTAACCCTTAACTTTTAAAGTCAAATTTTTGTCTCCTTTCAATTTCAAAGAACTCTATTTTTAAGTAGGCACATGTATGCTAATAGATTAACTTGTGCTGCCATCAAACACTATAGCATCTTCACAACATGAAAACTTATGTGCAAATTGCGGAGAAACACTATCCTTGGTCATTGTTGCGTAAATCGAGCAGACTTAACACACTTTGCATCTAAAGACTTTAAACATTTCTAATTTAAAGATACTTTTCGTGCGTATAATTACTGTCTTTTCCTTTTCAGTTTGTATTTTTCCTGTAGCTCCTTTTCTTTATTAACAAGACTTGAATTTTTTGAAATGATAGTAAATGGTGGGTTTTTGTTGAGGCGCTACTTTATTTACTAATCAATTTAGTTATACATTATTCCTTTTAAATTTAGCCGAAGTCGCTTGCAACCGAAGCCTTATAATATGTGTTGACCAGTTTCGATTGGATATAACTTTAAATAACACTTTAAAATCTGCCAAGGTCGTTTGCGGCCGGAGCGTTACATTTCTTGTTAATCAATTTAGGGTTGGGTTGATATTGAGTGTGATTTCATGGTATATAAGTGAGATATTTGGTTAAGTTAGATGGTTTAACAATGTTATAATGTAAATAAGCATTAATGCTAACGATTTTAAAAATCTCAAAATGCAACGAACCAAAGGTTATGCCAATTATTTAAGAAGACATCTTCTAATATTTGGGGAAAGGTATTGTATAAATCTTGAAGTAACCTTGACTTGAATTAAATGGTTTCATAAAAACACTGCTGAAATTAAAGTATTTCCAGAACACCAAGCTTAATTCGAGGAAATTCGTTGCTTATTTTCTTTACTAAGGTCATCTTGTATAATTAGGCAACTCATTGCTACAACATCATTTTGTTTTTTCCTTTTTTGTGTTATTTCCCTTTTTGTTGCAGCAAGCAGTTCTTGTTATTTCATCTCTTCCATAATTGTTGTACATATTAGTTGCTTCCTTTTTGTCTATTTCAGCTTTCTTTCCTCAAGTAATACTTACTCCGTCCATTGACTAGTCAACCTCTTTATGCCATTCCCTGAGTACCCTCTCTCCTTCCCATTATCACTGCTAACGCTTGGTAATCTCATTCCACTAATTTCTATTACATAGTCAACTACGAATATTGGTTGCGTCCAATGTTGCCTACTTTTTTTGGTACTCACTTGCTTTTTCCCTCTCCACTCATGAAATTTGCTTTTTTTAGACAACTTTTTTCTAACTATTATACAAGATGCCATAAAAGTCTGGTAGCACGATATTTCTGTCGATAAAAATAGAACGGAACCACATAAAGACATAAAATTTGGCATAAATTTTGTTTAAATAGCAACAAAGTACAATCAAACTTCAAAGTATCCACGTATCACCTTCACACAGACCCGTAGACACTTGGAGAACGTAGCGGTGAGATACTCGACGTTGTGATTGTCTCATGCCCAAGAACGCGGACCGAGCACGTGGAAATTTCTCATCATGGTACTTCTGGGAGTTGATTTAACCCCCTGATCCATAAAAATCGGCAGTGTCTTCCCGGTCGAAGTCACTTCGGCCCAAACGATAACCTGAGTGGCATGACCCTTTCAGGTAAATGCAGCGACCATGTTAATTCGCTTCCTGAACCGATTTTTCCGCACTCCTTCTGAGTCTTCCCAGCCCTGGCTGGGTCCAGTCTCAAAATCGTGGGACATCATTACCTGAAAACACACAAAGTAATCATAAACAAAGTTTGAATTTTTGGAATAGCAATAAGATGAACATGCGGGCAAAATTTCACATTCATACAACAAAAATTAAGAAACTCCCAGACTTTTGTGACACACTATAATAGCACCGTACGAGATATCTTCCATTTTAGCTTATCAAATAAAAGAATGAACATAGAGACATGGTCAAAGAACAGAACTACTTTTTTTCCCAAGTCCAAATTCTTGTAGTTCAATGTCTTGGTCCTGCTTTTTACTTAATAAATATCAAACTTAAGAATTTAAGAAGCTATATTGCATTATGAACTCAGAGCTTTAAAAGCTATTATAGATACATCTATATCTCTTGTATCTTTATAACATGAATTAAAAATAGAAATAAAGTTTTCATCATCCAGATCAATTTATAATCTGTCATTATTATTTGCTGGAATTACTCATGGTGGGTTGTTGATACTTCAAGATCTGAACTGCATGGCCAAGAATGTCTTCAGGAAAACATGATAAAGTTATGACTTCAGGCAGAAGTTCAGTATTGCAACTTAAAGTTGCACTACTTCCTTTGACTCTATTATTTAACCCATGAAATGTCCACTTTGAGGAATGTGCCAATTGTGTCAAGGTCATTATCTAACATTGTTTTGAGAATGGATAAACAGGAATATGTAGTTTTCTTCAAGCTAAATGTATACAATGAAGAGCTGCTTGGATTTTTTTTTTTTGATTTTGTAAACATCTTTAAAACAGCTTAAGTTATCTTTATATCCTAACATTCACCACCACAGTGAACTCTTTCAACTGTACACTTTATTCTTAACGAATATAAACAAGTATTGAACTGACAATCACAACAACAACAACATGTTCACCATATTCAACCACCAACTTCTGATTTTTTTTCTCAAAAACTTTTAAATCAAAAAATTAATGCACTAATTGCAATAAGTATTAAAAATACTCAATCAAATCTGAATAAAACAATTTTTTTATTTGTCACTAGATAATTTATAAAATGGCTACCAATTTCATGATATTACATAAATATTCTACATACTCTCGCATACATAACGCATACATTCAAACGTAAATACATAAACGTGCAATATTTAATCTCAATCGATTTTTTTATTTCTATTTATAAAAAATAAACACTTTCAAAAAGTAAAGAAATAGCTTAATTATTGTACATTTTAAGCCAAGAATTACGTTCACCCGAGCCGTAAAACATGTAAATAAAAAAAATACTTACTTTTGTTGTACATAGTTTCTATATCGAAATATAAAAAAATCGTATAAATGTTGAACATATTATAAAGAAATAATTAACAAGATAAAAAAAATAATACATTATATCTAGCAAAAAATGGAATGTACTGTATTATATAATTATATTATATTTATTGAAAGTGAGCTTTTCAAGACATTAAAGAGAACATTCTACATACTAAATTTAAAGCATTAAATTAAATTATTTTTTTGTCGTTTTTTGCTTTAATGTTGAATGAAATCAAAAAAGATTTTTTATGGAGCAGTTTTTAAATGTACAAAAAAAACTTAATAGTTGTAGCTTGTAGATTTTTTCGTTGTATCACTGTTTATAATTAATAAAAAAAAACCTTTAAAAGTAAAAGGCGTTAACGGGTGAGAAGAACACAACTTTGACGATGTTAAATTAGAAACAATTGGAAAAAAATTATTAAGAAAATGCCACACGGATTTTATTTAAAATTGAAATGATATTATAAATTATAAAGACTTAATCTGTAAGTTACTGACGTAATCGGTTCTCGTATTGTAAATAAATACATATAAATATATATATAAATATATCTCGATAGCGTTAATTTAATTAAAAATGATTACAGAAAAAAATTAATGAAAAAAGTGTATTTTTTATTTAAGCGCGTCGTTTAAACGATCATTTTTGCGAATATACATAAATTACATTAGTCGTAAATTAACTGTTGTAATTTAATTTACGGTTTTTACTTAGAATGCGAGAAATAAATGTTTTTGAAATATTTATTTATTTATTTATTTTTCGAACCAAACCTAATTTCCTTGCCTTCATTTAACCTTTCAATACACGTGCGCAGACCATCAGGACGCGCAATTTACATTTCTAATTTTGCACTACCACTATCATTTGTTGATTAGCTGTTTCAAATAACAATGAATACAAATATTGCAGGCAATAATAACAATTGTAATAAATATAATATAAATACAATCTTAATAAATATAAATATTAAAAATCGTCTTAAAAGAAGCATGGTTGAACCCGAATGTTATAGGTGTTGTGTTAGTTTTAGTGCTTTTTTTAGATGACATACATTTTACATGATTTTTGCGAACTATAAGATCTATTGTAGCGTACGCTCCCAAAAGGTTTAGGGCAGATATAGATCTTTAACAAACCTTAGAATTGCTTCTAAGTTTTTGCTCCTTTATGTCAGTAGATGTCAGGCAACCCTTTCTGAAACTTTTGTGTCTTAGGCTATACTACTGTTCTGTAAAGTCCCTAGATTTACAAAGTACCGCGGTTCATGAAGAATGTTTTCGAGCCAAAATGGCGGTTTGACATCTTTTCAATGCATCTCACCACTTATTTACAAAAATATTGCCGTCTTGTTACCTTCGGACTCTTTCACACACTTTGGAGAGTAGGGGTAAGATACTAATAGGGCGTAAATGACTCAACTCCCGGGGATTAGAAGTTTTAGGGATTGGGGTGACCAAGGCACATTTCCAGACATCAGGGAATACGGAATGCTGAATTGAGTAGTTAACAACGTGACACAAGAAAGGTAAAATAGTGGGACAACACAAAACAATCATTTTAGCAGTTATGCCATCAATACCCGTTGAGTTAGATTTTATTCCCCTTAAGATGCTTAAAATCTCAGATTCAGTTATAAGAGTTTGTCTGTGACTTGTGGAAGCGTGTTATTCCAATAAAACTCAATTAACTCTATATCCCCAGCAGAGTGTATTCCTTCGCAGAAACTTTGTCAGGTTTTTCTTTTGGCTTTTCGAGTACCAAGGTACACTCCGTTAGATATTTCCTATAGACGTGTGTACGAGTTTGGAAGGACGGACTTTATTTTACATGTAGTCTTGTAACCATAACCCGTTGTTGTTCAACGTTCTTATTCCACCAAGACACATTGAATCGTGCTCTTTTATGTTTTATTGAACAATTTGATTAATATGCTTTATGTATATCATTTAATTATATAGAGGGTATTTCAAGATCCTCTCTGCTTTCAATATTAGTTTTCATTTCTTCAACCTCGCTGATGATCAGAGCCGCGACGTTTCGGGCTGTTGATGTCACCATCTGTATAGAGCAGCGAACGGGTTATAGCGTAGTAGTAACATGCTTCTATCGAGCACATCGATGTGCCGCAACATAACGATACTGGTTGAATGCTGGCCCATGCAAAATCTGGAGAGGGTTCTCTGCGGTGCAGCGTTCAATACGTGTTTGGCCGATTGTCCGTCTAAAATTCAACCAGTGGCGTGGTATACTACATGTGGCGTGATGTGGTCCATGTGGCCCGAGTCTCTACCGTAAGACGACGAGCCGCCAATGAGTTGCCCGACAACGTCGCAGCTCTGCTGATGATCAACCTCATTCGCTATGCATATGATACGCTAAAATGATTTAGGTGATAGGTATATACAGGCGATTTGCGATCTGAGTCGAGAAGTAGCCAAACTAATGTCTAACACCTCTTATCTGCTTTTTGTTACAAAGGTCGATTGGTTATCTCTGTTGGGGATATCTATATTTGAATTTAGTAAGTATTGGTAAAGGTAGGTACTTACAAAGGCACCTCCTTTGGCGGTGGAACGTTTGATTCAGCGGCAAAGTAGGCCGAGGTTATAATCGCCTCTTGCGTAACTCCCAGTGTCGGCAGTGACATTGCTACCAAATCCGTAGTGATGAACTGAATCAAAAGCAGACAGTTTAGGCAGTTCCTGGCCTTTTTTTACCCTTGTTGGAATCCTTGGAGGTTCCAGAAATAACTGGGTTCAGCTGCTGTGGTGTTGGCTTGCCACTCTTCAGTCGTCGTTTTGAGCACCCTCCGTTTGTTCGTGTTCAGGCCTTCGTTTTGACCTTTAATGATCTTGAGAACGCGATCGATTTCACGTCCGCATTGTTGGGAAAATAGGCATTCATGATAGCCGCTTTTTGTAGCACCTTCTCATCAAGTGCATTTGGAGAAAATGCTTAGCCCATGGGTTTTCATATGCCATTTAAGAAAACATGTCAGAACATATTAATACATCAAACCTATTAGGCTATTAGGAGAGGTGTCAGAATTTAGAAGAAGATTCATTACCTAGTACATCGTTGTCCCTTATGGAACAAACTGTAAGTGAAGATTCATTTGTCTCACTAGTTAATTTGATGAAAGAAAGCAATAAAGTTTTTGGTACCAGCTCTCAAAGCTTTAAGAGGTTTGTTACAAGATTAAAGTCAATTAAAACCAAAAATGGATGGGAGAGTTTTTTAAATACTTCCGGAAACAATAGCGCCTTAAGATTTAAAACAAAATAGGCAATTCACGTACAGCCAATATCATTTGCTAGACGAAAGCCAGGCCTATTAAAAAGAAAATACCAACGAGACGTCATAAGTTGGCGGAAAATGTCAAAACAAATCAACCGAATGCCATAAAACATGGCACGGCCATGATGGGCGCTGGGTATATACCCGGTGGGTAGGTATTTATAAAATGGGTATATATCCGGATATTTACCCCGGCCCAGGGTAAATACCCAAACTGTACGTACAGGGTGGGGCAGAATGCAGTCCCTGATTTGAAGGGTTAATTGTAAGACAACGGTTCGAGATAAATAAAAAAAGGTTTTATTGCTCAAAAGTACATAAACTACCGTTTTTTTTCACGATGTTTTAAAACGTAATATCGTCCAAGTGGAGGCCTTGGCTTTCGGCCACTCTTTCCAGTATATCTTGCGAAATTCCACCGATGACGTCCTAAATCGCCACCTTTAGTCCACACAACAGTGCCGGGGATAACAGCAGTTAGGATTGCATTCTACGTGCGTCTCTACGTTTCA